AGGGGTGGTGGGGGTGGTGGGGGTGGGACCCCTTTTGCAGCCTCCACAGACTCCATGTTCAGTATGTCCTGGTCTTCATCCTCCCCCAGATCTGAGAAGTCCAGGTCCCCAATGCAGAGTTTGGATACACGGGTAGGGAGCTCCCTGAAGGGCTCAGCTTTGGGGCTTGGTGGTGTCAGTGGCTCCTTGGACTCTGGCTCAAGGCTCTGCTGGCTCCGGAGCAGGACTCGGGGAACAGGGCTCTGGGGTGTTCTGGCTGCAGGGGCTGGCTCTGGGGAGCACCACAGTTCCTGGGTGTCTGGAAAAAGGTAAGCAGCTGTCAATACCATGCCTTCGGAAAGCAACACAGCACTAGGGGTCCCACCTACTCACCTGAGTGTCCATCAGCCTCATCAGGCACAGCCCCAGTCAGTGTCTCTACCCGGCCCTGGGCCAGCGCAGCCTGCTTCTCTGTTTCTGCTGCTGCCACATTCTCCAGGAAGCGGGCTCTGAGGGTGAGTACTTGTCAGTGATGGTGTCTGACATAACCCCTGCCCAGAGTGGTGCACATGCCTTGCTGAGCCCCTGGACACTGCCTCTAACTGCAGGCACACACAGACACACAGGGACTAGTCCATGCGCTGAGCAGACCCAGAACCTGCCCCCTTCCAAGGCCAGCACACTCAGTCCTCACATCTGGACAGTTACTACCAACCCAGCATCCCAGATCAAAATACAGGGAGAAGTTTTCCTTGACATCTAACTCGCAACCTTTCTGCCACTTGTGTTCATCATCCTGATTCTAGACAAGGCCCCTCAGAGTAGAGAAAGGGGACTGCTGTCCTAGCGGGCGCATCAGGCTGCCTGTCCCACCTTTGGCATGTTTTCTGAGAGCTACAGTCCATGCTCAGAAAAGGGCCTGGTAATGGTAGGCCCTCTGTTGAAATAATAAATGTGATCCAAGGTCAACCTGGCCCCTCCAGTTTCAGTCTCGGTCCTTCCCTCACTAAGCCTTAGACTGGACCCCCACTTCCACACCACAGAGAACCCTAGATCCTCTCTCTGACCTATTCTTGAGCTGAGGACATGGAGAATGAGGCCC